TCGGCGGGGGGTGAGCAATTGTACTGTGCATCACTTGCTTTGTGTATTATTATTATTATTATTATTTTATTTCAATTATTAAACTGTTTTTATCTCAACCCACGAGTTTTTCTAACTTGTGCTCTTCCAATTCTCTCCCCCATCCCACCGGGTGGGGGGGAGTGAGCGAGCGGCTGCGTGGTGCTTAGTTGCCGACTGAAATTAAACCACGACACCCCCCCGCCTCCCATCTTGACCCCCAAGTTTTCTTGCTTTTATTCTTTCTTTCCTCTTCCCCTGTCCCACTGGGGATCAAGGGGAAGTAAGCAAGTGGCTGTGTGGTGCCTAGCTGCCTACCAGGGTTAACCCACAACACCTGTGTAGTATCAACTATCTTCAGATAAGTAAATTTGATATTAAACATTACACCTTCCACGCATGGAATATCTAAAAGAACCTGTTCAGAGAGTATTGGACTCTGACAGGCTTTAAAGCCAAGGCCCTTCTGCCCAGAAGGACAGGAGATTTATGAGTTCCTATTCACTCACTGGAAGGTGTATCAAGACAACCGCTCTACTGACAAAGCTATATCCATTTCCTGGGGACAGAAGGCAAGGAAAGATATCACATGCACAGATACAACTCTGTCTCCTTCCCAGGAAGGAAGCAATGTGTCCAGAACAGTAGAGAGATCAATCCCAGACTACTCCCCATTATGCTGTACAATGGTTGGGCAGAAATCTCAACACTCCTCTGCAGGCCATCCGGTACTATGGCTTTCAGCATATGGTAGGGTAAGCACATAAGCTGTGCTCTGACCACCACAGGGCACTGTAGTGCTGTGTGAAACCAAATCCCAATGAGAACCACTGATCTCAAGACTGGACGGTTGGAAACAATCCATACCTTCGTCTTTACCTCCAGCTCCTGTTGGCAACTGGTGTTCGCTCTGACCAGGTACATTGCTACTGGGACCTGCACAAGAAGACTGAGTGAACAGCACTGCTGGACCAGAACCTCAGCTAGCTGGCAACATCCCAATTTGTGTGTTGAGGATTATGTCCATCACACATATAATTTTCCACCAGCACTCCACTACTGATATAACAGATCAGCAATAACAGTTACAACTCCCAGCTAGTCACAGTTATCGGCAGCCACTCCATAGCAGTTTTGTATGCAATATTTTAGGCAACAGTAATGCAGCTCTCCCTCCCACATGACTCGGCCGCAACTTACTCCATTCCTGAAAGCAGATCAATGGCAGGAGGGAAAAAAAATACGTACATGTTGTAAGAGGGGAAATAGGAAAGCCGATTCCACATGGAAGCAGTTGGTACTTACCTAGACATTTACCTTCTGAAGGTGGCATGTGCAGTGTGGAGTCCACTGTTTGCAAGAGTATCTTCATTTCTTTAGTCCTTGTAACTGCCTTTTTTTCCAATAAATTTTCTCTTGGTTTGTAGTTGTGTGCTGAAAGCACAGAAAGGATGATGGGGTTTAGCTGTGAGGTAAGGCAAGAACGGCTTCTACCTCTATCAAACTCAGAATCCTATTTAAACTCAATGTTTCTCACAACTTACTTCTCCCCTTCTTCAGTTCTTTGTTGAATTCCATATGTTTGTGATCATCTATAGAATGTTTCTTACAACTTACTTCTCCCCTTGTTGAATTCCATATGTTTGTGATCATCTATAGCCTGGATGTTTGAAGCTATGTTCACATCAATGCCTCCAGTTTCCAACACTCTCAATGAATGGGTATCCAAGAGATTATGGGACCTCTTGCATGGAAAAAATCTACATTCCCCTTGGAGAAAGTGTCGACAAATATGAAGCTTGTTACAGCTGTTTTGCTGGCTGCAGGTAACATTCTTTCTGTTGTAAAGCTGGCAGACCTAGAAGTGGGGAGGATTGATACAATATGAAATGGAAAAGCACATTAGAATCAGTAATATTTTTTCTTTGTTCTATAGGCATACAGCTTTAACTGCAGAAAACCCGTGACTAAAAAGCATGTGTTCATTGTGACTTCTTTAATCTGGACAGGTTTCTTGCATGGAAGAGCAGGCGTTTTCAGCTGACTTATGCATTTTCAGTTTTGAAGTTCTGCAGAGTTTTTTTTCCAAGAAAAAGAAAAGCCAATCCAACAAGCATTCATTTTTGGCACTCCTAAGCAAGACAGTTACATAACAACTGACTGGTTTACAGTTATTCTATTAAAAAGCAAAACAAAAAAAAACAAACTCCAAAACAAAACCATAACATAGAACAAGTGTCTCCATAAAAACATATATACTGTGTCAAATGAGGTATTATTTCATGGAGCTGAAACTGCATTTGCACTTCCTGTTTGTAAAGCTTATTCTGCATTGAAGACTTGGGCATCTAAAAATGATAAGAAGAATGCTTTGAGATCAGAGTACATATGGAAAAAGCAACGCACTTCTTTATTCCTCTGCTCACCAAAAAAAGAGATATGCAGTGAATTGGACCCAGGGAACAAGTCACACACCAAAAACTCCTTCATTGCCCACCAAGCACCACAGCAAGACTTCTGCTCCTGCAGCACAGAGAAGCAGCCCGTAACAAGAAAGCTGCTTTGAGGAGGGCATGCAGCGGTCTGGCAGACAGCCCCAACATCACACCAGAACTGTCACAGATCTCCTCCCAACCCCTGTTCCAAGCAACAGAGACAGTTTTTATGCTGTGTTGCAACTGAATATATATAGATTTATGTATCAACTAGGGAATTAGAGATTGCTGGGATGGCAGTGTTTAAAAGACTGAAAAATCAGGCCGGTTTCAACTGCAAAACTCTTTACTGGATTCATATTCAACAATACCCATTGCCAAAGACGAGTTCCTCATCGCCATCAGTCAGTATCATGTACAGAACAATGAGCCTTCACAAACTTACTCTAAATTAGGTGGGAGCATACAAAGCCATGGAACCGATGCAATTTCAGTGAGCACTGACGGCTACCATCCTTGATAGTTCTTAGCCTCTGAGGGAAGCAGAAACCAAAGGGGGTTGTCTTCCTTCTTCCCCATCTTCCCTCTGTCATTGTGGATGCTTTATGCTTTTCTATCCCTAACACCCCAAAGAATGATCTCACTTGCTTTTGACATCTTATTTTTGGGATCTGGACTTGTTCTGGTTTTGCTTGTTCTACTGTATTATTCTGCTTCCATCACATATCCTTCCTGCTTGCTCTGCAGGATTTTAGTCTTACCAGGTATCTTGCAGATTTTACTTCCACATGTTTCCCTGCACCCTGTTTATGCAACTATATCACAACTTTCCATTTACCCCCTTGCAATTATGGCTATTATTTATATATTTAAGCTCAGCTGCATCACAAAATGCTATCAGTGGTGTTACAATCTGCTAGGTGCCCATGCAAGGTGCTGGCAGCAGGGGTGGCCTCTGTGAGAAGAAGCCAGGGGCTGCCCTGGGCTGGGCACAGCTGGCTCCAACAGACCCACCACAGGACACAGCTGAGCCCATCAGCCAAGCTGGTGGCACCTCTGGGAAAACGTATTTAGGAAAGGGCAAAACATCGCATGGTAGTGAGGGGGGTGGTGGGAAAAGAGTGAGAAACAGCCCTGCAGACACCAAGGTGAGAAGAAGGAAGGGGAGGAGGTGCTCCAGGTGCCTGAGCAGAGATTCCCCTGCAGGACCACCTACAGCTGGTTGCCCAGGATCATGTCCAGATGGCTTTTGAATATCTCCAAGGAGGGAGACTGGGCACAACCTCTCTGGGCAACCTGTGTCAGTGCTCAGTCACCCTCACAGTAAAAAAGCATTTCCTGATGTTCAGAGGGAACCTCCTGTGTTTCAGTTTGTACCCATCGCCTCTGGTCCTGCCACTGGGCAACACTGAAAAGAGCCTGGCTCCGTCTTCTTTACACCCTCCCCTTCAGGTGTTTGTAAATATTGAGGAGATCCCCTGAGCCTTCACTTCTCCAGGCTAAACAATCCCAGCTCTCTCAGCCTGTCCTCATGTGAGAGATGCTCCAGTCCGTCCATCATCTTAGTGGCTCTTCACTGAACTCCTTCCAGTAGCTCCATCACTCTCTTGTACTGAGAAAATAAATTTTGGAAAATTAATTTTGGACCTATTTTCAGCTAATGTAGTGGGTCACTGTGGAAGACATAATGAAGAGATAGTGACTTCTGGCAAATCTAGGCAGTTTACCTGTAGGCCTTGGTTGCAGAGGCCCGTATGTTATCATTAGTGACAGCCACATAACGGGAGCACGTACCGTGCCATTAGCATTAACTGCCTTTAACAATACAACCTGTACGTACTGTTTGTAAGAGCTTGTTCCTATAGAGATGCATAAGAGCATAATGCTCTCAGTGAACCTCAGCGTACCATCTAGAACGTTCAGTTTTATATAGATAGAAGACCAATAGCTTTGGGTTTTTTTCCAGAAAAATACTATAAAGATGTGAAGAACAGCAAGGGTGCTGAACCTCACCACAGATGGGAATTCTGCACGGCAAGCCATGGTCCTACCAGAAAGGTCTGTCTGTTACTGTATTGTCATGGTTTCAGCGACATCAGAAGGGACATGTAAGATTTCTTCTCATTATAACCTTTAGTAGTAACCAACTATTTATCTTAAGCATCATGTGCCTTTCTTAGTGAGATCCAAAAGTACCAGCACCTGCCAATGAAAAGCAATTATTCAGCTACTCCAGAATTTTGGGTAAGTCACTTCATTTTTCTCTCCTTCATTTTCCCAACTTTGTCTGAGGGGAATGCAGAAAGGCTTATCATCTACAGAGCACGCTAAGATCTATGTATCAAGAACATATGCAAGTGCTAGGTAATGACAGTCTTCTGGGAGATGCTTTGTGACTTCAGTCACTAAAGAACTCAAATCTTACACCACTGCCAAGGGATGGTCTTCCTCAGTTGAAGAACATTGCTCTATTTTGGGGGACCGATACCACTCAAAGTGTTACCTTCATCTAAAATGTACATGCCTCATCTGAGTGCCTACCTAACAAGAAAAATAAGTTAAGCCTTTAAATATGCAGCTTGTTTTTCCATCCCTCCAAGTAGGGATAACTGTTCAAGTTACTGAGCTGGACACAAACAGTCCAACATTCACCAGAGACAGACAATCAAGCACAAACTAAGGACTGTGATACACACTTATACAGTAGTCCCTTGATTCAAAGGAGTAATACAGTTTGCTGGATGTTTCTAGAAAAACTTAAAATCACTGCTTTCTTAATAGGTCTTTCCCCAACCCAATCTTTCCCCCTTAACTTCGATATCCTCTCCTTTCTAGGAACTTTCTCCTCCAGGAATACTGCTAATCAAAACCAGAAGTGGAGAGCACAGTTTGTCATGCAGCCTGAAGCTAGTTTAAGAACTACCAAAAAAAGCATAAGACTTATGTCAGACACTGGTTTTGGGGGCCAGAGCATAGGAATTGCTTTTGTGCTTGCACCTTCCTGCTCAAGAGAGTAGGGAAAAAAAAAAAAGCAACTAAAATACAAAATCGGGTAAAAGCTGAGAGAGTACTAAAAATACAAACATTTTGTATGGAGCATCCATTACACAAAATATCACTTTAGGGTAGTGGACAAACCAGCCACTTAAGTTACGAAGTGAAGCTCCCAGAGATTTAAAGACACTGAATCCAGTTGAAGGCGATTTTATAGAGCATCTAGAGGAAAATGCATTAAAAGATGATGTTAGTATGCCAGACAAAATTTTTACATGGGAGCATCGGAATAACCTACCAAACCAGAACAAAGTGCTGCCTCAGCAAAACAGGGAATCCACTAATTAGCTAAATCAAGAAAGCACACTGCCCCTTGCATTGGTAAGAAACAAAAAAAAAAAAAAAGGAGAGCCAGAGAGAAGGTGAGGGAAAGTGTAAAAACCCCTGATTTTGGGGTGCTGTTGTATTTTTCTTACCCTTCACCCCAGTTCAGGTCACAGAAGACCAAAGTTTCCTCTTGCTTGAGAGCTTCATACATGCCATTTGTCAGCACACACAGAGCCAGTCAGCATTTCTAAGCAAGAAACAGCCAAATTGGCTTTCACACCCCTCCCTCCAGCTCTCAGGTTTATGAATGGCCTGCATCAATCACCGTTTTCCATTGTTTCTGCTATTTTACTCCATAATAGAAGTTAAGGTGCTCAGTTAGAGGTAATTAACGATGCCTGCCAGTGGCGAGGGCTGAACAGATCTATAGATAAGAGCTTAACAGTAATACCAATCAATGATGGTTGCTACTATCTGCTCATTACTGGGAGTAATTAAACAAGAACCACTTAAGTTTTAGATGCAGCTAAAGGTATTACTAGGATGCAGGACAAAGGTATTACTAACCCTCATTGCTCATCACCACCATGCTCCTTGACTCTGCCAGCACAACATATTTTAAAATACTACCAAAAAAAAAAAAAAAAAAAAAAAAAAAAAAAAAAAAAAAAAAAAAAAAAAAAAAAAAAAAAAAAAAAAAAATCTATTTTGTCAAATCTATTTTGTCAAAGCCCAGCACTATCACAGCAGGGAATAAGAAAACAATAGAAATGTTATGCCAACAGATCTGTGGAGATTATAATCTCCAAAAGACAAGGGTAACAGGAAGTACTCTGGTAACTTCCTAACCAGGAACAGCTGTAGCCAAAACAGGATATTCTTGGCTTTGAAACAGCCATACCTTGAAGATAGCACTGCCCTTATACACACATGCAGAACCAGAATGGATTGTTCAGCCAAATTTAACAAAATCAATGACTTGCATAGAAACCGGACAAAGGTTGCTCTGTAGAAAATTAGTGCACAAAAACTCAGTGCGCTTTGGAAGGGGCAGATTTTACACAAAACTGACTGCAGTCGTTTGGTCATTTTCTCATGGATCTTTCTCACTCCCCTAATACCCTCAAGCACCGAACTGTTCAGGCCTACACAGGCTGGAAAAGGAAAGGGGCCCTCGCTTCCTAGTCTCCATCATCTCTTGGTAGTTTTGGTCAGGCCTTTTATCCTGTAAGCGTGTGCAACTATTGCGATCTTTCACCTCCATCTTGCTTACCTCACCGTCTGTAAACCTCTGGTGAAGTTGCTGACTTTTTTTGTTTGCTTGTTTTGAGTAACTTTATGGCTATCCTATTGGTATTACAGGAAAGGCATGCAAAACAGGCTGTAGTCTTGCTGTCTGCTTCCTGCTGTCAGACCTTCTGCTGACAAGTCATAGATGACATGGCCTTACCAAGGTGCAAGCCTTCTGATATTTATGTAAGCAACGCACTCCTCAGTGTTTAACAGTTTTATTGCTGGGTTTTTTTTTTTGGTTGTAAGTACACGGCACTTTCACAACCCTTGCTCCATATTGTTTCTTCTGGTGCTTTCACACACAGCCATTCCCATTCATACTTCATTCAGACTAATCTTGATATTTCTGTTACATATCTTAGCAGCTTGAAATTGAGATCAGACCTCCACCTTCTCTCTTGCCCTCTCCCATTCCTAATTAACAAAAGCTTCTCGTAAGAGATCAGTACAACTCACATCAGGGAGGAGGAAAGGGTCATTTTGGAGAAGCAGCACCCGCAGCTCGTTCTCATTGAGGCCAGACAGCTCATGAGTCTTTAGAACTTTTTTGTTCTCAGCGTTGATGATGTCGTGGGAGTACTTACAAGATCTGCAAGAAAATACACAGCAATATCAATGTTTACTTTTTCAGTCAAGTTGATTTAAAGAGAACCTCAGATAACGTTGAGCTTGGGAAAAGTCATGGAGAGAAAGGCAGTCTGGCAAAAGTCCCTGTGAACATTTAGATGGTCCTTGTAATTAGCTACAGAATGGACCAAACAGCATAATAACTCTGTGAAATACATTAGCATTATTATCCCCATTTTAAACATCGATGTGGCCAGACCACTTCTAAGAAAGCTAGCAGCACAGATTCAAAGGTAAGCCTGTCTACGCCACACTTTCTTCCACTCCGGCAAGAGGCAAGTCAAGTCACGCCATCTGAACAGCTGGAGGGAAAGCTAATTTTAGAGGAATACATCAACAACGGTAGAAGTTGCAACACCCTCGATTTTATGAACATAAAAGGTTGTTGTCCCAGGGATGGCACGTAAACAAAGATGCAAAAGTCTGAGAGTGCAAAACAAAGAAATAATGAAGCTGAAAACAACACAATTTATCTTTGCTGGCTGGGAAGTTTAAAAAAAAAAAAATCCAAGAAAGTTCATTAACTTCTGAGTTTTGGATAAAGAAGCGATTAAAGGACAATAACGAAGATGCTGGTGCCACTTACTAACACAAGAGAAACGTCTGAAGTGAGTATGAACTACACAGAGAGAAAGATTGCCTTTTTTCTGCATCTATTTGAAAAGATACTGCAAATCAATAATAAGAGGATAAACATAGTCAACCTGAAAAAATCCAAAGTTCATTAACTTCTGAGTTTTGGATAAAGAAGCGATTAAAGGACAATAACGAAGATGCTGGTGCCACTTACTAACACAAGAGAAACGTCTGAAGTGAGTATGAACTACACAGAGAGAAAGATTGCCTTTTTTCTGCATCTATTTGAAAAGATACTGCAAATCAATAATAAGAGGATAAACATAGTCAACCTGTGCATTAATTCAATACAGTAAAATACAGCTTCCTTATGTCTTGCTCTTCAAAAGCATGATTTGATACAACCTTAAGACTAGACATACTCAACCAATAAAAGTACCTGTTAATCTATCAGACTCAAGTCTCTGTTCCCTTTATCCTTTTAGCCCCTAGTTAACTCCTGAAACTCTCCTGTGAAAGCTGTGTCTGATCCAATCCTTCTGTACAGACCCTTCTGTAGACGTTTCACCCCTGACCTCCACTACCTGCTGGGCACATTGCTTTGTAAGCAAATAAACAAGAATGCAAAGTCTGAAGGGCAGAAGTACGCCATCTTTGGTCCTGAGAAACGATCTTCTAAGGATACTAGATTCTGTAGACACTCGATTAATGGCTAGGAAGGTAGGAGAGCTACAGAGTATTCGAGGTGGGAGCCATCACCAGCGCTCCTCCACAGTTAACTACAGATTCCTCTGACAGTCACAGGGTGATCTACATCACTTGAGTACATATTTCGAAGTCAAAGGTTGAAACAGTCCATAAATACAGTGATAACCAATCAGCTGAGTTTAATAACACATTTAGAAAAAAAAAAAAGCAGTGAAAAGTTACTTGCCAGACAAGTTAAAAACGGGTTTAACTAGACTAAAATCCTGATTCCACTAAATAGGGAGACCCCAGTAACTCGCACAGACATTTTTCTTTCAAAAAAATCTAAACCAAAAAGGATGCAAGATCTGGAAGCAAGGCTAGTGTCATGGTTTAACCACAGTCAGCAACCAAGCACCACACAGTCGCTTGCTCATCCTCCCCCCCTGGTGGCATGGGGGAGAGACTCGGAAGGGCAAAAGTAAGCAAACTCGTGGGTTGAGATAAGAACAGTTTAATAATTGAAATAAAACAAATTTTAATGGAAGTAAAACGAGAGAGAGAGAAAAACAAAAACCCAGGGGAAGAAAAAAAACCACAAGTGATGCAACTGCTCACCACCCACCAACCAACACCCAGCCAGTCCCCAGGCAGCAATCGCTGCCCCCCGGCCAACTCCCCCCAGTTTATATACTGAGCATGACGTCATATGGTATGGAATAGCCCTTTGGCCAGTCTGGGTCCGCTGTCCCGGCTATGCTCCGTCCCGGCTATGCTCCTTCCCAGCTTCTTGCGCACTTCCTCGCTGGCAGAGCATGGGAAGCTGAAAAGTCCTTGACTTAGTATAAACACTGCTTAGCAACAACTAAAACATCAGTGTGTTATCACATTATTCTCATGCTAAATCCAAAACACAGCACTGTACCAGCTACTAGGAGGAAAAGTAACTCTATCTTAGCCAAAACCAGGACAGCTAGATTTTTACCTTATCAGTTAAAAAATATTCTCTGTCTTGATCCATGTGGCCCACGTAGCAGTATTTCTGCCCCCTCATTTTAATCAACCCACAAAATTTTAATCAACCATTTTATCCCTCCCATGAAAGGCATACTCTTCCTTTTATTAACACATACAAAGGTGATTTTAAATACTTAGGGCTATTGAGAGGACAGAATGGTTTATCATTGCAAAGAGAATCACCTCATTGCACGTTTTAGTTCACACGGAGTTATCCAGCGCAAGTGCCTACATGCACTTGAAGGTATTTCTATCAATGAATCACATGGAAGCTTATCGCACCATCAGTAAAGCCAAAAGCGGTAAGAAAATCTTAGCATCCCAATACTTTGCTAGTACCATTCTGAGATAGACGTGGCCTTTCCCCTCCATCCTCTTCAGATCCAAGCGCACAATGAGCTGTTTTGCTGGGGCAGAATAGGAAGAATCTAGTGGGGTATCAGCGTATTACTAACACTGCTACAGCGCAAGACCTGGGGCTTGGGGGCTTAAACTGCAAATTCTGGGTTTCACTTCTACGTTTGTTTTCGGTTTCCTTTATTGTTACATTTTTAAATAGGTACAATCTTTGGCCCTCCTGTGCCTAGAGAGGCTGCCAGGCCTACCCTTCCTGCGAGTCCTCCATAATTTCAGAAAACGGGACTGATGTACATGGGAAGTCAAACACTGCCTCTCACAGAAAGGGCTGTAAGCAGAGCAGTGACTTACAGCAAAATTAAGCGTTTGTAACTTTCTAGATTAAAACCAGACGCCACACTAGCACTTTGCTTCTTCTTACTAGAGAAATATTTGTAAACTATTTCATCCAGATGCCAGTGTGCTGAGGGATGTTGTGGCAGACAAGCGGCTTTAACAAAAAATCGTAATACTGACAAAGAAAGCCAGGCTTCGGAAAACTGCAGCCTACCGCGGTCACTTCGGGCTTTTACCAAACCAGCGAGAACAGCAAACGAGTCCTTCGCGAGCAAGAAACGCCCGGTACGAGGCTGTACCCGAGGGGGGGATCGGGCCTCTTCTCCTGCAGGGAGCCGGGGCAGAAGGGACCGGGGCAG